TTAATTCTTATATGTAATAATTGTTTAATATATTAATTTAACTAACAATAATATCTATAATAATTAAAGTAATTATGATAATTATAGTTAAAATACACTAATATATAAATGAATACACAATAATACATATGTATATGTTTATATTAATTATAATATAATATATTAGTTATAAATATAGAAAATACATATATATACATATAATATATTAAATATATAATATTATAATATATTGCATATATAATGCATATAATAATACATATATATTTATATATATATAATATATATACATATATTATGGTTAAGTATAATAAATAATAATAGCATAACATATATATATAATATAATGAATGAATATATATAGCATAAATATATTATTATTAATAAATATATATATATATCATATAGTCATATTATATATATATATGCATCATATATATATATTAAGTATTATATAATATAAAAATATATGTATATATATATTTGCAAAGTACTATGTATTATATATGAATATATTTATATATAGTATATAATATAATTATATATATAAAAACATGCAAATAATTAAATATATTAATATATATACATATTGTATATGCATATATATATATTATATAACATATATGTATGTATTGACATTATATTATATATGTCAAATATATAATATTATATATAATAATATAATAAAAATATATATATAATGCATATAGATAATTATAATATTAATAATATATAGTATATATAAGTATATATTATATATTAATTAATATATATATATAATATGCATATAATTAGCAGATTATTTAAATATATATATATAAATATACATTAATTTATATATTTAATATATTAATACTATATATGTTATTATATCATATATTAGATATCCATCTTAATATATGCAGACTTATATTAATATGTATTATATAATATATGCAATTATTAATATATAATTATAATTAAATCAAATTAAATATATATATTAATAATATATATATGTGTGTGTGTGTGTTAGTACTGTTGTGTGATGTGTGTGTGTTGTGTAGTGTTAGTTTGACTATATATCAGCATATGGTGTGTGTGTGTATTATATGTATATGATTGCGCGATGTAGCTGTGGTGTATTCGTGCGTGTGCCTGCTCGTGGCGTGTGCTCCTGTGTTGCCTCCCTCTTGCTGCTCTCTTCTCTCTCTTCTCTCTTCTCTCTCTCTCCTCTTCCTCTCTCTCTACTCCTCTCTCTCTTCTATATTATAATAATGTATAATATAATTATATAATGACAATATTGTGACTGTGTTCAAACGACATGTGTGTGTGTGTGGTTGCGCCAGTGCGATAGTGCTGTATACGTGTGCGTATGTGTAGGTGAAACTGATGTGGTGGTAGTGGTAACATATAGATAAAGTCTGTGTGTGTGTATAATGATGTTGTGACTGTTGTATGTATTGATTTATAGTGTATAATGATGATGTGGACTTAGTATGTATGTATATAATAGTATATTATAATTAATAAGGTATGTAGTAATAGATAGATATGGGAACAACTAACGTACTGTGGATTATAACAATATATATATATATTCATACTATAATAATATATTACATTAAGGATGATAATAATGAATGTTATAACTATACTAATATACATTATATATTAATATATACTTTTATGACGCCAACAGTAGTAAGTTATACTTATCTCGTTATATAGATTGAGATGCAAATATATTGCTAACTTGCTCACGTGTAGTATTATGTGTGGGTATCGCGGTGGATCGTGAGTGAGAAAAAGTGAAATAAATTAAATATAGTAATTATGACGGAAAGTAAGTATAATAAAGGATATGAAGAAAATATATTGATTTATAAAAGTGTACTGGAGGTGAGGATGAAATAAACTGTAGATAATACACCGGATGTGCAAGTGGATCATAAATAATCGAGTGATAAAATATTAATTCGCATACAGAGAGGGTTCAACACAACAGCAAAGCACACAAACAAATATCAACACACGACAACGACACACACAGGAACACAACAAACACACACACATAACATACACCGACACAACAAAAGCAACAAGCTAGCGAGACAACACAAGCATACCAACACAGGTGAGTAGAATAGTATAAGTAGGTACAATTAAATAAAATAGAAGAAAAAAAAGCAAAACAGAAGAAAAAAAAGTAAAAACTAAATAGGTATAATAATATACTAATGTGTGTGTGTGTGTCTGATGTATGTGTGTGTGTTGTGTGTGTGTGTTATGATGAGAGAGAAGAGAGAGAGAGAGTTAAAGGGCGATGAGAGTAAGGGGTAGAGGCTAAATAGCGGCGATTAGAGAAAGACCTGCATTAGTAGCCACCCAATAATCATTTAGTGAGCACAGGGCTTGCGCGTGCTGATTTTAGCTTAAAAGCAGCGCCTAGGCTTCAGACTAGGGGTAGGAATAGCATTTAGCCTAAAGTCTTCGTCCCTATCTGTTTGAAATGTTGAAATTTATTCCATTACTCACGCTGCCTACTCATTCAGAAATGAGTGGATAATGTAACTCTTGAACAGCGCGGTAGACGATACGAGAGGAATATGGTGACTAAGAACAGTATGGCGAATTTTGGCCCTGACATTAGATGGAATACGAGGCAGCCCGCAAGTCCGAAGGAGCCAACGTTGGAGAGCAGTGGACTGAGGGGGTAATTGACTGTAGCACTGGCGGGTGTGCTCGAGTACCATACAGTAACAGATCTGGTGAAACGTCCACATAAGCACCTTTCACATTTAATCTCTCAATTTTTTATTTAACCAGAATGAACTGTTCAAGGTGTAACTGAGCGCAGAATCATACAGCGGTAGTCCGACAACATAAAACTTTATAAGAAGACGAGATCATGAGAGTCTAAAAAAAGAAGAAAAAGGAAGAAAGAGAAAAAAGAGGAGAATAAGAGAAATAAAGGAATAAACAACTAATTCTGAATGGAATCAGTTACTACTATAGTAGATCAACGGAACCTAAGTGTCTCTACAACCACTACATTCGCCCACTCACTTTTCTCCCCCCTCTCCTTTCGCCGGTCGTTCATTATGTTTCTCCCCGATTATGAGGCGGGTTGTTCGTGTTGCCTGTGTCTGTGGTTTTGTTCCGCAGGTATCTTCTAGTAGGTACGCAGGGGGGAGACGAATTGGAACTTCGAGATAACATTGGTTGTTAATAAAAACACGCGTCATGCCCCCTAGCTGTAGACACTCTACTACAACCAGCCGTGTGAGGCGTTGTCCCTTGTGCGCTGCGCGTGAACCGGAACTGCCGCGATTTCTGAATGATTATCTGCGTGTATATAGATTTTATGACACACGAGGGTCGATTATATGGCTTCCTATTGCATACACGAAGATGATTAGTCGATTCTGTGGGCGCTATTTTAAAAGGAAAATCTCGATGCCTGTGATACTCGTAAAGTGCGTTGGAATTCGGCATAGTGTCATTTATTTAAAGATTTCAGATTAGCATTAATTAACATCAGACCTATATGAATTCATTAATAAGTAGAGATGGACAACTTAAACGGGTATAGAAATATAGATCAATAATTTCAGCATATATGCATCACTATTATCAGATCAAAAATAAGCGCAATATAGATATACATACCGCGTAATAAACATATATTACTATAGACACGTACATATTCACACAACTCAAAAAATATAATAATAAACAAGTACTTAAGAACGCAATAAGAATGATATATATATATATAAGTGACATAAATAATATTGTGAATTCTTTTTATAATAGGTACGATATGTATAAATTTTGGCTCTTCGCCTCGAGATGTAAAGCCCACGTATATCACGCAGGTAACGGGGTAATATATTATAATTATATAATAAGAAAAGGATACTCGTTCAGTATTGATAATAAATTGAGAAGTTTGATCGTATTTACTACTACTACCGTAGTAGCTGTTTTGGTAGGATACTCTCGTGTACGTACTTACCTAGGTGCTGGAGATTAATGGCTCGTTCGCCTGGGCTTGGGAAACTTGCATTGAATTTATTTTTATCTGCTGATATATATATATGTATACTATTATTAATATATAGTATATATATAATATATATATATAGTATGCTGCTGCGGTCCGCTGTGTGTTGTGTTGTGTTGTGTGTGTGTGTGTGTGTGTGTGTGTGTCTGTGTGTGTGGTGTGTGTGTGTGTGTGTGTGTGTGTGTGTGTGTGGTGTGTGTGTGTGGTGTGTGTGTGTGTGTGTGTGCAGTTCTTCACGCGGATTCTCAAAACTAGAATAATATCGAGAAACAGTGTTCTTCTCTGTATGATTCATAAATCCTGGTAAAAACATCACACAGTTATGATCCACTTTTGCTTGACACTGAGTTAATTTGTTTCCTGTGGTTTGACAAATTACCTGCAAAGCTGAGGGAGGCGTCATCAGTTAGGTCCCGTCTTGTGCTGCACCCATATGTCGGGAGAGCGCCCACGCCCATCCCAGGCTGTTCACGTATTTATTTATGCAAATAAAGTCTTGAACATCTATTTGATTTTCAGTGTGTTATTACAAGACTAATGAACAGTAGCATTGTTTGACATAGGGAGTCTTTGTTCATTAATTTCTTATTCATACTCTACTGTTTATCCATTTATGTTTTTAACCCCATCACGGCATATGGACCCACACAGCAAGTGAAACGCCTCTCAGATAAAATAAGATGCAATTAAACACAGGAAACCGCGTGTAGTCTCCTTACCGTTATCTCTAATGTGACGCCACGACGTTCCTAGCGGCTTCAAGATCGCAACCCAGAAACACGACTAAAGATCATCCTCAAAAAGGCGCGCTTGCAACTAGCATTTTTGGTTAAGGTTTTAGGACGAATTCCAGATGGCAGATTTTTTTTTTCTTTTTTTCTTTTAGGAGAGCGACTTCAAAATCATACAGTCCATGTGGTAATGTTTGATATGAGTTCGTTAAATGGTGAAA